TTTTGGGACATACTAATGTCTAGATCAATGTATGAAGAAAAATTTTGCAGTGCATAAAAAATTGCAAAAGTTATAAACAATTAAACACCTCAAAAACATGGTGTTTGGTTTTTCGCCTATAGTTTGTAAACTATAAATATTTTTGGATTTTTCAAAAAAGATCCTTCAAGACGAGGAAATTTGCTATAAATAAGTTTCGACTCCCGGAACTGTACCTCCATTATTTATAATTTTAATTTAACGCTCAAAGTAGCCTTTTGCGCGCCATTTTTAGGTTGCGCGCCATTTTTAGGTTGCGCGCACGGCGTCGAAACCGAGTACGTTACATAAAATATTTTTTTTAAGGTAATAAAATTAATTTCAAAAATTTAAAAAAATTACGGTGTATTCTAAACACTTAGGATAATTCATTCCCGTTGGAATTTTTCATAAAAATTAATTTTCCAACAAAGTAGGTTATTGATAATTAACAAAATTTTTAGAATTTCTCTCATCGTTACAAATTGATAAAAATATTAGATTATGACTAAAATTAATTTTTTTCTAATAGTAGATGTCCTTATTTATCTAATAGTCAAATTTTAACTATACCTTTTTGAGAAAATTTTTTTTTAAAAATGTGTGTGTTTGTACAGTGTCTTATGAGAAAGTAAGACTTCAACAACAATTTTCGAATTATAATTAATTTTACTAATATTTATTGATTAGATGGAGTAGAAAAAAACTAAAAATAAGGTTTTTGAAATATTTAGGTTTTGTTTTTTACAATTAAATATATAGGTTACCGTGGAATTTATTGAGTTATTATTATTGCAAAATCACAAAAAATTTTCAACTAGGTTACTTGAAAATTTTTTGTGATTTTTTAATATTAATTTCTCAATAATTTCCACGGTTTACTATATATATTTTATTGTATAAAACAAAATCTAAATATTTCAAAAACCTTATTTTTAGTTTTTTCTACTCCATCTAATCAATAAATAATAGTTTAATTCGAGAATTGTTGTTGAGGACTTACTTTCTCGCGAGGCACTGTACAAATACTCACATTTAAAAAAAAAAATTCTCAAAAATTTGCAAGGTAAGGTATAATTAAAAGTTCAGTCTTAGATAAATAAGGACTTCAACTATTAGAAAAAAATTAATTTTAGTCATATTCTAATAACTTTTTTTTTAACATTTGAGGCGAGAGGTGTGGCGAAAGGACCTCCTTAAATAATTACCGTAAATTTGTTTGCTTCGTGGAGCTCTTTTAATATACATATAAAACAAAATAGCTTCATAAAAGTTTAAAAAATGTTAATACTTTGTTTATAATAATTTTTTAAAGTTTACAAAAACAGAAAAGTCACAGCTATACAAAATTTTTTTTTTCAATTTATTATATTACTGTTTTAATGTCGAGAAAAGACATTCATTAATTAAAAAAAAAAAAAAAAAAAAAAGTTTTTCTTCCATTTTTTTATAAATTTTTTATAAACAAATGGAGTATTTCAATTTTTTTCAATTTTTTTTTACAACTTTCTAGACAATTGCCAATTATGATTTTTAAAAAAAAATTTTTCTTAATAATAACTTTTAATTGTTTATAATCGTTTTTTTAATATATCTATTGTTTAAATTATAAGTTAGGAAATGTGTTTTTTTTTAATCATAATTGACAGTCCTCTACAAATTGACAGGAAAAATTTTTTTTTTTAATAATTCCATTGTTTATTAAGTTAACAATTTGTTATAAACAAATTGCCAACTTTGGTTTATTTTTTCCTGAAAGAAATAAAAATTTCAAAAACGACTTAGTGCATTAAAATTATGAAAAAAATTTTATTCCATTTTTCATTAAACTTAAAAAAAATCAATTTTTATAAACAAATATAAAAAACAACAAATTTACAATATGTACGAAAATGACAAATGACTTATCTGAGAGATAATTTCATTACCTACAAAAATGACTGGAATGTTTATTGTTAAATAAAATATGTGTTTTGTTGTCAGGCATAAAGTTTCTTAATTTTCTCTTATTAAGTTGAGTTTATTAGTTTAATTTGTTTATTGATCGTTAACCTACATGCTTCAATCTATTTATCATTTTTTTTCTAATTATTTAATGTTATAAACTTTATTCTTTGTAGATTTCCTGCACTTATTTGGAGAAAACTGTTTCCTGTGGATTTTTTTAACGGCTTGACTGATACTATGATACTACCAGTGAGATCAGTCTTATTTGTATGCAATATTCTCAAGGACTCATTTACAGGTTGCAAATTACTGTTTTATTTGTCCTTCACAAACCTGTTAAAGCAAAATTGTAAGTATTACGTTATTAGTAAAAATTTTTGTATGTATTATTTTATTCATAATTATTCTCATTATTTGAGACTTATTTCGTCTTTTCTTCTGGTCAAACTAATTCATTTGACTAAAAATGAGGCACATTATTTATTAATTATTGTTACTTTGCGGTTTGATATACCAGGTGATTCATAACTTCAATTATTTCTTGATTATACATGATTTTGCTTTAATTTTCTTTAATTTCAACTTATAGATTTTATTGACCGTTACAATATGTATATAAAAAGAGCTCCACGAAGCAAAAAAAATACAGTAATTATTTAATATTTTTATCAATTTGTAATGATGAAAGAAATTCTAAAAATTTCGTTAATTAACAATAACCTACTTTGTTGGAAAATTAATTTTTATGAAAAATTCTAACGGGAATGAATTCTTCTAAGTGTTTAGAATACACCGTAATTTTTTTAAAATTTTGAATTTAATTTTATTTACTTAAAAAAATTATTTTATGTAACGTATTCGGTTTCAACGCTGTGCGCGCAACCTAAAAATGGCGCGCGGAAGGCTACTTTGAGCGTTAAATTAAAATTATAAATAATGGAGGTACAGTTCCGGGAGTCAAAACTTATTTATAGCAAATTTCCTCCTCTTTAAGGATCTTTCTGATTAAGAGATCAGAGCGAGGAACCGTATCGAAGGCTTTTGCCAGATCAAGGAAAACCGCTAGGCATTTACTTGATCTATCCAAGGCGCGGACTATCGGTTCAAGTAGATGTAATGTCGCATCTTCAGTACTGGATTTTTTTATGAATCCAAATTGTATTTTCGATAGAACATTATTTTTGTCTAGGAATTTTATTAATCTGTTTTTGACAGCTTGTTCCAATATTTTTGCAAAATTATTTATAACAGATATTGGTCTATAGTTATTCATTTTGCTATGGTCCCTAGATTTAAAAATATGAGTAAATATAGTATGTTTCCATTTTATGAATAATTTATTCCTTTCTAATTGTTAAAAAACCTTTCTAACATTTTACGCCAATGGAACTTATTTATCGGCTTTAAAATTTCCAAGAATTTATTGCGCACATTATTTACATACCGAATTACTGTAGAAGCCCAGCGTGAGATATAATAACTCCCTATTGAAACTCACGCTATTTGTTTATTGATACTATTAATTGCTCAAAAGTAGTTGAATAATTAATAAATTAATGAGAGTAGATAAATTGTATTAAACAATAAGTCAGCTATAAAATGATTGTTTTATAGATGTTGATAAATTTAAATCCAAAAGTAACTAGCATCTCTATCCACTTTTTGCAAGGTTGGTATCTTCTTCTATTTACTCCTATCCCCTTGTCAGCAATCTTTTTAGTCTTTTTACCCATCTCTGATCTTAGATTTTCCCTACGTATCCTAACCAACGTATCCTTTTTATTTAGAACTTGTAACGAGCATTTTGATACTCATTAGGATTTTATTATTTCGTAATTTATATTTATTATTCAAACAAGAAAAAAGAATTGGAATTCTTATTTCGTATTTTTATTTTATTTATTATTTAAAAGGAAATTTTTGAAAATATAATAATCGAATAATATATGCGTGGGAGACGCAAGTAACGTCAGAGGTAGGGGTACGAAAGTTGATAAAAAGGCCGTGCACCTTTGTCTTTCTTCTGTTATTCCCGAAGAGTTTGGTTTTAATCAAAGTAAGGTTATCGAAGTGATGGTTTAATGTCTAGCTATAGGTAAGGTCAGGCGTTTTTATTTTATCTTTAAGGAGAATTGTTGGCTAAATGCTGCGTTAGAGCGTCACCTATCGATTAAGGGTATTTGTTGCAGGAATTTATTAGTGATTAACAGATGTATATTCCACTAATTTAGGTCTATTTCGTTATTTAGGGGTGGATTTCAGTAATTTGAGTTAAACAAGAAAGTTTTTAACTATTTATTTCGAGAAAAAGCAATTTGGCGTCATAACAATTTACTCAAAATACTAAAATAGATATTTAACATAATTATGAAAAGTATCAAGTTTAAACTTTCTGTGGTAAATAGACATAATACATAATACATAATACATAATACATAATACATAATACATAATACATAATACATAATACATAATACATAATACATAATACATAATACATAATACATAATACATAATACATAATACATAATACATAATACATAATACATAATACATAATACATAATACATAATACATAATACATAATACATAATACATAATACATAATACATAATACATAATACATAATACATAATACATAATACATAATACATAATACATAATACATAATACATAATACATAATACATAATACATAATACATAATACATAATACATAATACATAATACATAATACATAATACATAATACATAATACATAATACATAATACATAATACATAATACATAATACATAATACATAATAAATACATATTTCACGTGAATAGCACCTCATATTATTGGTTTTAAGACGAAACAGGTGCCTAAAAAATCACGTCATAATGACGTGTACTGAGAAGTTCTTTTTTCTCATATTATACTCATCTTTCATAATACCCTGTATAGCATCTCAAAAACAACACGCAAAGCAGTTGTTTTATTTCAAGGTCTTAAATTTCTTTGATAAACTATGAAATTACTGCACATAATTATTATTATTGTCAAGATTTTTGTTTGGTAAAACCTTATCTAGAAAATTATCAGATGAGATTCCTGCATTCTGCATGCCGTTTACCTATAAAGTTGTTTATGTATACAATAATCTGTAAGTTTAAACATTACGAAACCCACTGATGTATTGAGGCCAGTGTTAAAATATTTTCATTCAGTTCTGTGTTGCATATTATGGAAGCATCAATTACCAGTTTATTGCAGCTCATTAAGTGACAGTGACGTGTTTATTTTTAAAAGGTTTGTCTAACTTATTGTTGCCTATAAGTTTTATTGTTTAAATATTTTTGTTACGATATAAAATTATAATGAAATTATTAAATAGTCAATAAATATAGTACTTTTAAAAGTTCCTTAAAAACTATGTAGGTATAGTTTTATTAAACAATAAGTCAACTATAAAGGAATGCTGCAATAGACCTATTCATCATAATTTTTTTTTGTGCGCATGCGACAGTATCAGTCATCTCTTTCGTACTGTTTCTGTAAACAAGCATGTTAAAATGCCCACGTGAAAAAAATTATAATCGATAAATATTAACTTAAGTATATTCATTTACTAAAAAAGGAAGAAAAAGCAAAGTAATAATAATTTTAGTGTCTTAATTGAAATAGTATATTGTGCAACAAGTGCAGAAAGTAACCAATTCCACACGATGTGTGAAACTTGTGGCACGAGCGAATGCGAGTGCCACAATCACATGAGTGTGGAATTGGTTTTCTGCACGAGTGGCACACTATACTTTTTCTACGACCATAATGACTTAAAACACAAATTAATATATTTTTTCATAATTGGATGATCTTTATTAACGATTTAAAATTAGAAATATAAAGAGGTGGTAAATATTTATTATTGTTATCACTATTTAAATGTGTACTTTACATAGTTTCTTTTTCATATTTTTCGTGGACATCGTCCCAGTTTCTCCTGTTTGTGCCCCAAATAAAATAAAACAAATTATTACCAATATTAATTTTGTTTAATAATTCACTAAACTATGTAAACGTATTTGAATTTTCTTAAATTTCAATTACAAATTTATTTATTATAAAAATCAATATTAACAACATTACAGTTTGAAATATTAAGAGGTGGTAAATCATGACCCTAGGATAGTTTTTTCATATGTTGTTTCTGAAATAGATATTCTGCTAGTAAATGCTTCAGGTTATTCACTCCTATTTTCTACAGAATGTAGAATGCAATTTGCGTTATCCATTTTATGTGATAAACTGTCATCGATGTATCCTTCCGCGATTGTAGTTGACTGCTCCAGAATTAACTAGAATTGTTGCGGACGAACGGCGAAAACAGTGGCTTGTATAATTTTTGTGATCTGGTAACTTCAAATATTCAGCAATTTGTTGTGCCATATTTCCAAATTTGTTTATTCCTACTGGTTGCACTGTACGCTTGCCCTTTTGATAATTCGTAAAAAAATAATCGTGAGGTATATTTGAAGGACGAAGAATGTTATATTTTTTAAATATTGCATAAAAATCTCCAGTAACCGTAAACTTTCTAGGAACTTTAGTTTTTGTCTTTGTTATATTGACTAAAATAGCAAAGCCCATGTCTTGTACGTCACAAATTTTTAAATTTTTTAATTCTTCTCTTCTACATGCTCCCATTATTCCCAAAATCAGAGCTGTCTATAAAATAAAATTTAACATGAAAAAATATTAATCTCTCATATTATTAAGTATTTACCTTTTTAAGTAGATAAACATCATCGGAAGCTTCATTTAAAAATTGGTTGATTTGTTCAGGTGTAATAGTTTAGGAGCCCACTGCAAAATGTTGGGTCAATCACTAGTATGGCTAAATTTTCATGAAACCGTTGGGTAATATATTGTACAATAGTAATCCGTCGGCAGCCGTCCCAATATCGTTTGCGTTTTACGTTATAAAAAATTATTAACAATTGAAAATATGTGCCACCCTCCACCCATCGCTTTTTTGCCAAATTTTCTACTTAATCGATAGATAGTAGTTAAATATAATTTTCTATACCCGGCTGCCGACCATCATCCTTTGCGTTAAGGGTGGCTGATGGGGCCGAAAAGTACTATATCGATGTTGCTTTTATACACTCATCGCTTTTATAGTCAAACAAAATACCGTTGGAAAGGTCGCAAAATTTCCAACAAGAAAATACCCGGCTGCCGCGCGAAAGCGTTTGCATAACTAAGGCTGCCGCGATTTTGTGCGCGCGCAAGATTTGATCACGTATGAAATCAGCGTTTTAGATGACTTACATGTTAAAATCAAAATGTCATTGTAGAAGTTTATATTTTTTAAATTTGACTTTTGAGACAAAAAATCAACCTAAATTTGAAATCTAAACAAAAATTAAACACACTAATCACTTTTATATTCACGCTATAATAAAAAAAGGATAAATTAATCTTGTCTTCACAGAACACCTACGTTCTGGCATGGAACAAACATCTCATTCACATCTCATTTCAAATCGAGATGTAAAAAAATGTAATCTGGACAGCTACATCTGGGATAAACAAATAGAGATGTAGATGTACTAGGTAGATGTTTCCGATGTGGATAAACAAACGCTCGAGATGTTAAAAAATGTATCGCATGTGGATATTCAAACCCGGCAATAATCCTATTTTTTTTATGGCCTGCACATTACTTGAATTCAACAATAGAGGCAGTTTACGGTAAAGCCAGACATATTATTTTCTTGTTAAAAACGTACACGTTTTAAGAAACAAATGCTCATCGAACGCCAGTCACGGATATAGATTTCAAAAACTACTCGCTTTTGAACCACACACTTTCGAAAAAGTTTCGTTTTTTAGGGATTGTCGAGGATAGCCGCCCTGGTTTTTTTGTATGCAAAAATGACGGTAACTTCTTGAAATGCAGCGACGAAATTAAAAAAAAAAACAGTGTACTAGAATTTCGCAAAGAAAAAAATTTAATTACGGAAATTTGTTGTCTAAACCAATATGACGCCGAATTTCAAAGAAAATAACAACTTTGAACCCAAAATACCGGGATGAACTTAAACTTGAAAATATTAATTTGCAAGCAACTGTACGTATTGACTTTTTATGTGATTATAAATCTATCTACTGCATTAAATGCAGATTAAATGAAACAAATAAAAATTAAGTGGTTGTGGAATTGCCCGTAAGAAAATAATTGTATTTCGAAAGAAATGAGTATTTATCAACGAGAATAAAATTATCGAGCAATATGACAACGGTGTCTATTCCGGTATCGGGACAGATGCGCCCTCGTACATTTGAGCCCCCGATACATTTCAGCCCCTGTCTTGATTTTTCGAATAATGATAAAATTTAAGTGAGACAGTTGCGACCCTACCCCTATTGATCCCAAACAGAAGTCGAATGATGAAAGTAGATTTTTTGGTTTCAGAGTTATAAGTATATACATTAACTGTAAGTGTAAGACACTTGGATGATTCGAAATCACCCATTAATAATATCACGTCTCATTACCTAGAATGAATTTATAAATTTCTCCTGAATTTTTATTTCATCCTGTCTTTTTAATATTTTCTAAACAGAATAAATAGATGTTTGAAATAAAGTAAAAAGTAATTGTTGCTAGGCAACACATTACAGTATCTGATACTGTTAAGTTCCATTTCCCGGAAGCAAATAAGAAATATATTTATTAGTAATACTGATATTTAATTGTGAAAAAGCAACAATTATCTTTAAAAGAAACTATAAGTAGATTTGCTGGACAGAATGAAATAAAAATTTTTGTTTGGTTTACTGACATTATATAACTTCCCTTCATACTTTTTATAGGCTGAGAACTGTCAACATAGATATGCCGCCGTGTTTATAAAGATATATCCAGTGGATATTGTCAGTTTTTTTTTAATTTTTTTAAATATTTTATTTTTTTTGTTTTTTTTTTTTTATTTTTTTTTTGTAATTTGCAACGATAATAGCTTGTTTATATAAATATAATTAGGGTTACTTTAAATCTTTTGATAGATTATGTGATAATACTAATACCCATGATTGATTTTAATATTACTAAGAATATAAAAAGCTATTACTTGATTTAATCCTTTTAATGAGTAAATATATAGTATATAAAATGTTGACAAAATGTGGAAATGTTTAGTTGCATTTAGTATCTGTGCAAGGTGTGACACATTTCAATTTTGAACTCATTTACTTCCGGGAAATGGAACATAACAGTATCAGATACTTTAATGTGTTGCCTAGCAACCTAATTTTTATTTTAGGAACAATTATTTTTTACTTTATTTCAAACAGAAATATTTCTATCTTACCTATTTGACAGTAAATAGCAATCATGCTCAACTATGGAAACAATGGCTCAATTGCAGTTAAGGTAATATAAAATGTAAAATTGCTAACTATTTTTTTTTTAATTTAAATTAACATCTATTTATTCTTTTTAAAAAGTATTATAAAGACATGATGAAATAAAAATCCAGGCGAAATTAATAAATTTATTATTAATAGGTGATTTCAAATCATCCAAGTGTGTTACACTTACAGTTAACGTATGTACTTTTAACTCTGAAACACCCTGTATATATCAGTAAACCAAAAAATCTACTTCTGTTTGGGATTAATAGGGGTAGGGTCGCAACTATCTCACTTAAATTTTATCATTATTCGAATAATCAAGACAGGGGCTCAAATGTATCGGGGGAGCAAATGTACGGGGGATCATCTGTCCCGGATTCTCTATTCCGATATCAATTACTCAGAAAACGATTATTCTGAGGAATTTAGTGTATATTCTTAAACTTATTTTTTCACATTTTGTTAACTTTAACGATGTATCATTTTATAAATTGCAAAAAACAAAACAAAATTAAGACTTCTCTATTTATTTACCTCTCTTGAACATTAATAAGTTTCTCTGCTTTAGATATATAGGGACGTTTTAAGCATAACTAAAAATAAAAACAATAAAAAAAACAACACATAAACCATATATTTATAAAAACAACAGAATAACAAATATTTAAAGAATACATGAAAGCGAGACGCTCTAGCTTTAATAGTAAACTCGCGTGTTCCAATCAGAGACAATAACAGATGTCAAATAAACGTCAGCTGTGCGCACACTCCCAAACTCCTTATCTAAAGCGCGGATTTCATACGTGATCGAATCTTGCGCGCACACAAAATTGCGGCAGCCTAAGTTATGCAAACGCTTTTGCGCGGCTGCCGGGTATTTTCTTGTTGGA